TGATCAAAAGAAACGTTTTTTTCCTTTACCATTTTTCTGGTAAAATTAAAGTAACAAAGTTATAGCCCTTTGGAAGTTTGAGTACCGCCCTGTCTCAATAATAATATCATGTGCTCGTGTTTGGCAACAACGGATATAATCCGCCTTATCGGTTCATCGCATCGGAAACAAAAAAGCGAAAGAATTTGGAACGATGTTTTTACAATTATTTTATTCAGTTCAGTTATACATACAGTCAGTGTCAGTCGGTAACGCGTGTGAATAGTGTCTGTTGCGTGGCTCAAACGACATAAAAAATGGCACATGTTTATGCGGATCGGTTTCCCAATCGACTGCAACCAACCCCTCGTGCCTTTGTTAATGTAGTACAACGGGCTCGTGAATCAGGTGACTTAAGACCTCACAGGGGACCTCACGATCAAATACAGGTCCGCACTGAAATACTTGTTGGGAGGATACTTTATAAAACAAGGTAAACATTTTTTTTTTAATTTTTTTTTTTATTTTTACACACATATTTTGGTTTATCTTCCTTCTACAATCATTATCTGAAAATTAATGACTCAACTTCAAAGTCAAGTAACATAGGGTTGTTTACTAAGATAAGATATAAGTACCCCGATTAGGAAAATATACGAGGGGCTCTCCCTATATAACCCCTCCCTGCCGAAGATGAGCAAACGGGGGATCCAAAGTTTGCGAATCCAGAACTGCTTCTTCTTCTCTACATCTTCTTGCTTCTCCTAGCTTCTTTAAAATTTGGTAAATGATGTAGCCAATGAAAGTTGATAGAAGAAGTAAAAATATGATTAGATTTGTCTTCTCTATGGGACGATCTGGGAACTGGATACTGTCTTCGTTGATTTGTTCTTGGGATATTTGAAGATTCTGGTTTGTCTTCAAGTTGAATTTTGTTACATCAACAAGGTTCTGCTTCGTGAAATTGGTCAGGCTTGTAGCTGGTAACGGGAAAACTGTTTCATGGTCCATGCGATCTGAGGGATAGAACTTGTGTTGGTTGATTTCTAAGCTGCATTGCTGGAGTTCTATGAGACTTGGTTGAGAAATAACTATCAGGCCGTCTTCTGGACATGACGAATGCACTGTAGTGGGCTCTCTTGGACTTATGATTACTTTAGATGTAGATATCTGCTGTACCAGAGTTCTTGATTTATGTATTCTTGTTATGGGACAAGTATTTCTTCCATTTTTGATAATTTCTACTAGGCATGGATCTGCTTCTAATAAGTCTTCGTGTTTACAGAAGTATTTATTTGCGACTTCTGTGCAAAGGTGGTCTGTGTTCCACTGGTTTTTCAAGTCGAAAAGAAGGTATTGGGATTTTGGGATCAGGGTGTAATTAAATTGAAAAACAGGAAAAACACTAAAATAATGAAAGGGGTTCGACACTAATGGTGCATAAATTTTAAATAAAATGATATTATCGAAAATAGTTACATCGGTTGTAAATAAAGAATAATAGTCAATTACGTGATCAACTTTCGGAATTCTTTCGCTACTATAATCTTTGGATAAATAATTTAAAATTGACGAAATACTATTTGTGTCTAAAATTGGAGAATGTAAAATATGTATTCTTGCAAACGATAAGGCTGTTTGTAAATTGCTAATTATTTCATATAAAGCTTGTAATTCCAAAATAATTTATCTATAGTGAGGCTGAGTGATAATACATTACCTTGTTCCCTTAAAATTTTATTGTTGCTGATCAAGTCATTTAGATGACTAACAATAATTTTCTCGTTATCTCTAATGGTCTGAAAAGTAATCTCAAAATGAGTGGTAATATCCTTTAATATTGTTTGTTGTTTGTCTATAATGTCCAAATAATTGTTAATGATTTCTTTATCTGCGGAGTCCATCGTTCCAAACAAATATTTCGAAAGTGTACCAACACCATTGAATAAACCTCTTTTAATGCGTTTATTATGTAAAATGCCAAATTTATTGTCGATTTTATTTTTCAAAGAAATAGCATGTTCCAATTTTTGTAAAAGCTGAATTGAAAAGTGATTGGAATTTTGTTTCAAAAATACTTGCGTTCTTAAAATATGTTGCACTATGCTATCTAAAATATATACGGGGGTACTAATGTTAATATGATATAAGAATGTGTTCTGATTTTCTAAGATATATGCTTTACCTAGCTGAAGTGGAAGGATCGGGTTTGCTAATCTTGTGATTTTGACTGAATAATTGGGAAAGGGGAATGACATCGTCAGAGCTATCATCAGGAGTAGGTGTAGAGGCCTTGTTCCTGTCATGTCTACCTGTAACAATGATTTTTCGTTGTGGTTTGAGCTGTCTTTGATGCGTAACTTTATTTTTTGAAATAACTTTATTGTCACCAGTAACTGTAGGGTCGGTCAGTTTTTTGTAAAGTGGTTGGTCTTTCTTTGTTTTGGAATTATTTAACGAAAAAAGTGGTTGCTTTACATCAAGCGAAAGAGAACGATTTCGAAGTCTATTTTCTCTTTCTAAATTTTGTCTTTGTTTACGTTCTAACTTTTCTGTCAGTTGTTGAGACAAAAGTTTAAGGATTTGGAAATGTTCTGTCATATATGTGGAAATCTGTTAATTCGTCGTTGCCTCGAAGGGGATTTCTAAAATCTAGCTGTCATTTAGCAATTTGAAAAGGGGTAAAGTCAGTTGAGGAATGAATGCTATTGCTGTATGATAAAATTGCATAATGCATGAGATCTCTAATATTTTGGTGAGGTTTTTCCTCTCTTAAGGTTCTTATTGTTTCTATAATAGTGGAATGAAATCTCTCAATTGGACTATTACTATTGGGATTATATGCTGTTGTATAATGAAGAGAGATGTCGTACATACTACAAAGATCTTGGAAAATATTATTTTTCCATTCGGTACCACTATCGCATGAGATTTTATGAGGAATGCCAAAAAATTAAAAGAATTGGATCATAGCACTAGTTGTCTCGATTGCATTTAATGAACTAACTGGGAATGCCTGGGAAAATTTTGAAAAACTATCTGTAACTGTTACAAAACATTGATTTGAAATTTTAAAAGAATCTATATATAAATGTTCAAATGATTCAGATCCTATGGTATTTGGTTTAAAGATTAACCTATCGGGATGCCTTTCGTATTTCGATTTCTGACATATATCGCAGGAATTTACGTAACTTCTAACGTCTACATCTAAATTAGGCCAATAAAAATTCTTCTTAATCGCTAAAATATTTTCGTTTATACCTCTATGGCTAGTTTTGGTTTCATGATATAATTTAATTGTATTATTTTGTTCATCAATATCAACTACGTCTTCTAGCATTTTCCTACTTATAACCATTGTAGATGTCTTATTTTGAAAATACTTTTGTAAAAAATTAATGAATGGTTTTTCTAAATCTAAATTCTTAAAATATACGCAGTAGTGTTGATTAGGTCTGAAACACTCTTTAATTAGCTTAGCGAAAATTTCTTCTAGTTCATTTATTTTGCTTACACCTAATAAATCTTTCCTAACTAAAAATGTATGCCTTTTCTTTTTTAAAATTTTTCCAAAGTGGCATTGAAATAATTTACAGGGTGATATGCCTAAAATAACTTGGTTTTGGTGGATGTTTAATACTTTGTCTGTATATGGGATTTCTAGTATCGGATTTTCAAAAGAACTATGAACTGTCTCACTGTCTGAGCGGACTTTTTCTGAGGGACGGATAGGAATATTTTGGAAAACTAATTTTTGATTTAGGATTGCATGATGATTGATGATGAGGATTGGTATTACTATCGTCATCCGGAGATTGGTGATTATCGAAAGTCTCTAAAATGTCTCCAAGGTCATTTGGTAAGGTCGGTAGGGTCTCTGAGTGACTTGGGAAAACGTCGTTAAGAATGTCGTCAATGTTAAAAGGTTCTGAGCTGTCAAAGTTTCCTAAAGTTGAAAGATTGTCTGTCAGTAGGTCAAGGGGGTGAATTTCTACTCGTGATAGGTCATCGGCATTAGTATTAAAACTGCCTTTCTTGTAAATAATTTTATAGTCGTATTGTTCCAATTTAAAGCGCCATCTAACAAGCATGGAACTGGGTTCTTTTAATTTCTAAAGTGCCTTTCTGATTTTTTACTTTGGTAATGCAACTGGGTAATTCAATTTCACCATTCTTATAAAGAACAGAATCTAAAATTATTTCAGTACCTTCTGGAAGAGAAGTCCTGATTTCTTTTGCTACAATTGATCTAGGGGGAATTTCTATTTTTTGGATGTCAAAATCAGTCCGAAATTGAAATGGGATTTGAAGAGTAGGGTTTCTGAGTAATTGATTTTCGAGATCTACTGTTAATCCTAATTTTCTCAAATCTCGGATTCCAATGATTCCGTCGAAGTATTCATGAAATGGAAAAAGAATAAATTCGAATTCATCGGGAATACCTAATTCTTCAAGTAGTGGGATAGAGGCTTTAAACTGACTGGTCTTTGTGCCTGCGTAAGTGGAAATGGGCGTATTGTAATGGAAAATTTGATCTGGGAAAAACTTTTCGGCGATGTAAGGTCTAAGGAGGGAACCGTGGCAACCTGTATCTATGAGTAATTTTACTGGGTTTTTTCGGAGTTGGATATATGGGAGAGAGTTGGCAAGATTGATATTGTTCAGGTCTATCTCAGACGTATCGGGGGACTGACTTCCTGAAAATTTTGATTTTGAGAATTATTTGAATAATAATTGTGATTCTCAGAATATAATTCTTGATTATTGTCATCTTGGTCATACTGAGGAAAATTTTGGGAAGGATATTGAGAAGGATATTGATAAGTATGTTGCGAAGAATGAGAGTGTACTTCAGGCTCTTCAGCATGATATAATTCTTGTGAAATGAAGTTTCGGGGTCAAGAAGGTTTAAAGTGATTATGGTTTTGTCTGTTTGATTGTCTTGAAGACGTGTCCATAGGTTCTGGATTATGTGCTGGTTTATATGAGTTTTTGGGGCGAAAAACATTTGTTGAGCGTTAGAACTGAGGTGGTCCGACTACCTGTCTGTTTGTCGGGAAGTTTTGTTTAACTGGAAGGGGTTTTGGTAATGGAATAGGTTGAGATGGAAATTGTCTACTTTCATTGAAGGAAGGTTGATGTGTCTGAGTAAAATGATTTTGTGGTGAATATTGAGCGTGAAACTCCTGAGAAGGAAATTGTTCCTGTATGGCTGGTGGTTGTTGATAATTAATATGTGTGGTATTAGGTTGAGTGTATGAAGGTTTGTGTCTTTGAGATGGGTAATAATTTTGGCGTGATGAGTTATTATAATTGTAACGTCTAGGTTTGTGTGAATGTGATTGAAAGTGGCTAGGAGGTCCGAAATTCTGTCTTTTTGTCAGTGCATCAATTCTTATCTCATTGTAGAAATGTTTAGTAACTACGTTGCATCCGATAAGTCGGAGGGCTGTTGAATGTCTAACAAAAGTCTAAGTCTATCGTCACAATTTGCGGTCAATACGTGTAGTGCAATTAAAAATGTAAAAGTATGAAAAATGTGAAAATACCAAGTGAATACGAATGTAATAAAATTTAATGCGATTCTACATAAGCCTTATTTTAATGTGAAAATTTCCTTAAAATTAATAATTTTGCAACCGGCAAAAATTTAAAAAAATAGTAACTAATCTAAATCGAAAATGTAGCTCTCGACAAATTTACTAAAATTAAGTTCTCTTCAAAAATGTAGTTCTTGAACGAGAACTAACTTAATACTAGATGTTTTGAGCTATCTTCAGCAAAATTAAATTTTACAAAACTGCACCAAAAATCTTAAATTCAAAAAAAAAGGTGAGAGGAGAGACAAGGAAAATTCGACTTGAATTACCTTCAGACTTTGAAGACACAGCACTCTGGCGTCGATCTTCGTCCTTGGGCTTCTCCTGATCTTCCTGGTCTCGTCGGTTCCAGAAGTGAGTGATTGAAATCAGCCTGGAAGTCCTCTGCTGAGTTCTGGTCCAGTCTTCTGATCCATCTGCTAGCTGCGCCAATGATGGTATCGCGTTTTTAAAAAACGACTTAGAAGCGATTTGATACTTTATTCTAATATAAATACAATGTTTCGACTAACAACGATATGTTAGCAAACCTAACCTAAGTGAGTTCAATTGAAGAGTAATAGGATTAAACTGATGCATGAAGGGCACATAGGGTTGTTTACTAAGATAAGATATATAAGTACACCGATTAGGAAGATATGCGAGGGGCTCTCGCTATATAGCTATAGGTAAACATAATTAACTTTTTATTCTGGTATGGTACGTATGAATATCACTGTTTACAAAAAAGTGGGCCTATTCGCAAATACATGAGTGCCTATTTCTAGTATGTATATACAAAGAAGTCAATGTCAGTACTCCCAAAATATTTAAACAGTTTTCTACTCGAGTGGTGGTTGCTTACATTTGCTAAGCTTTTTATGATCTTTGTTTGAGAGACAAACACTTCATCTGCGTGTGATGAGCTACCCCACAAGCAAATATCATAACGATGTCTAGACTCAATCAGCGCATAATAGATATTCAATAAATCAGGACAGCTTATAACAGTTCTCAAATTTCTAAAAACATATAAGAGGATAATGATTTACACAACTGCTGAATTCAAAATTATTTATGTATCCAATTCCAGTAATACCAATCGATGTTCCGATATGACAGTGTCAAACACACAACACGTGCCAGTATTTTCAAAACTTAAGATCTGATCGATCAGTGTACATGTAGAGTAGGAACTCTTGTAGGTCATTGCACCACTAGAACAATTAAAACACAATGTAACATCATATAAATACATCAGACTCCGATTTCTATATAAATCTAGGTTAAAATTGCTGCAAATAATAAGCTTCACATTAGGACTATACAAATAATTAGAAACATCTGTCAGCTTCTTACATAATGTGTCAAAATTTAAAATAAACCTTTGATCATAGATATGAAATGACACAGCACATGCTTTAAAGTTCTGCTCAATACATAATGAGTCAAACTGTACATTCTTTATAGTCAGACCATTTTTTACCCATATAGCAACTCCTCCACATCCTTTATTTTTCCTACAGTAAAAACTTTATAACGTAAAACCTTCAATATGGATAGACCTTATGATATGTTCTTTGACACCAGCTTCGACAATACATAAAAAATGTATTTGTTTATAATCGGAGATTTCAGAGAGGAGTAGGTTTATTTCATTGACATTTATAGTATTTACATTCAGTAGCAAAATATTTGGAAGATTTAATTGGTCGGATGGATCACTTTTTTCCGAATCTCTGAAAAACGATTAAAATACGCGCCCGCCGGCCAAACATCAGGATTCATAGCAGTTTTAAAATCACACTTATGTATACCAACCTTGAATGATGCAAACCCGCTGGGATACTAGGAGGTTAGCTTCTCGCTTTCAGTAAGCGAATCATATCATCGACAGTACTTGGGTCCACTCGGTATACACGAAGATAGACATACTTTGGTGTGGTCTTGATTCCATCTTTCCATCTTGATTCGCCTGCAATCGATGAAGCCAATAACGACTAGACGTCAGCAAGGAACTTTTTTAGGCATGGTACCAATCATGCTCACTAGTAAGGAAAAATGGGATTATGTGCAACACATGATCAGGAAAATACTGAGCGTCAAGGAGAGCGACGAAGAGACCTTGACAGTACACAGGGAAAGAGAACCCAGACATACTCGAACACCTAATCCAAACGACCACCGTAGGTAAAGGAGACGTAGGGAAAGGAATTACAAATCAGTCCGATAAGACAACGAAAGAAGAGAAACATTAAACCTCCCCAAACTCCTAATCCATTTGATCCAGGAAGGGAGACGTATGGTGAAACTAAGAAGACGATGAAGAAAGAGGCAAACTGCGTACGCGAAGATATACCATCAAAGGCAGTTCCAGCACGTCAGGGGGTTCGTAGATCCATTCGCTCCAGGTTACGACTTGGCGACAGTCCTGAAAGAAAAAGCATTATTACTACTACTTACTTTCTTGTCAGTGGATCCAAACTACTCCTTTCTAAATCCATACTGCAAATAAGACAACCCTGTTCTTTTAATCGGCGTGTCTTCCTAGCCTACCTGCCGTCAGCCATTCCAATAGCTTCCGAAGTCAACTCAGGATACCCAGAGGCCTATATTTGACTTCCTCATCGGTAGGTACTCAGCCTTCTTCCATTTTTTCGGAAACAACTCCGTTCTCAAGCATTCATTCATCACATAGATACATCACAATTTCGAATATTTCTTTAATCAGCGCTTTCACGATCTCATTTGGTATTTCGTCTAGTCCTGGTACCGTACCTGTTTTCAAATGCTTTGCAGCTTCTCCCAGCTCTGGTGTTTCCAACGCCTCGTCGTATCCAAATTCCGTGAGTGAGCATTCCGGAAAAAATCCGTCTGCAATTTTCATTTTGGTTTGGTACCTAGGTATGTTCTGCGCGTTTTAGCTTTTCGTACCTATCTTGTACGATTGACGTCAAACGTCATTTTTTACATCACTTCATAACTCTCTCCAAGCACGTTCAATATGAGTTTTTCTAGATCTTTTTTGGCATTCTCATGTTGGTTTTTGCACTCAAGTCAGAGCACTATCCCCTGTTCTCAAATGCTGTCATGGCTATATCATCCAGTAGTTGATCTTGTAACGCTTCATTTCCGCAAAAAGTCCAGAAAAGATGGAATGCAATGAAGATTCCAACTTTTCTGCACAATCACAGAAAGCGGGTTAGCATTAGCTTCTGGTAGCTCAGTCGGTGGCATGAAGACATCTACAGGCGTGTAGCTATATGTCGACCATGGCATGGCTAGAGGATAGAAGAACAAACAGAACACAAAAATTTAACAGATTTTATTTAACAAAAAAGCATTTTCATTACATTACAGTTTTAAAGTTTTAAAGAACAAAATCAGTTTTAAATCTTTGGCGCTGCTATAAAACTAAACTTATCTTTCGCTGGTCCATTTTGACTGGACTGAAGCGAGGATGGCCAGGTGCTTGAAGTGGAGGTCCCAGTTATGAGGGGTGACCTCACATTTAGTGGCTTCAGAACTAGATGTAGGCGAAGATGAACTTAAAGGTGATGGCGCTGCCAAGGCACATGCATGGGTGAAGTGATAGGCCAAGCAATGCAAAGTCAAAGACAAAGGCAAACGCAAAGTCAAAGTCAAAGACAAATGCAAAGGGAATGGGAAAGGGAAAGAGAAAGGGGGTGGCCCCAGTCATTTTGTCCTATTCGGACACACATTCTACAAAATTCTAGCACATGGTGCTATATGACCTTGTGCTACAGAGAAGAAAATTCTTAGCTCTTGCTAGATCGGCGACTCAAGTGAAAAGGGAACGCGAGGAAGATGGCAGATCAGGAACTCCGCATCAAGCGCGCTAAAAGCGGAAAATTTTCCAAGTAAAAAAGCTAGAGATGGGATTAATGAATTGCGATTCTGAAACGATAATCGAGAAGTGATTTAATAAATACGATCGGACGGTGAAACCGTTACAATCTGTGTCCTTGTACCGATCCAGTTCTGTGTTCCATAGGGCTAATTGCAGATTTCCGGGGAATCCTTTTAATTTAGCGTCATTTATTTTTTCCCTGCAATTTTATGTGTCTGAGATCTATCATGTTTGTTTGTCGTAATTTCAAACATAAATATACTTGTCGTCGTTCAGAGTTTTGTCATCGAATATAGGATGTTTGGTTTCCTCTGGTACAGGTTGGCTTGACATCATCGTTTGCTAGCCTATTCAAATTTGCTTGTATTATTTTCATTTCGTTATTGTGGGAGAGCTACTTCTCTCTATTCCCCTAACATTTCTTTTGACCATCTGGAATCCCTCATTTCCATCATTCTCAAGGTGAGGTTCGGATGAACAAGACTCGTGAGCTTTCATCGTTGTTACAGACGTCGCCTATCTTATCACTGCTGTTTAAGCTGCTTGTTGTTTATACCTCATCGTGCTCCGTAAAATTCCTCGGAGATAAATAATGCACAGGAACGTTTTGCAACAATTCTCCCAGTGGACGCCTGAGAAAAATACACTAAGGTGCAGACGACTCGGATAAGAGAAAGTGCATGAATAGGGGAAAATGACATATCATTGGAAACCGCCTTACCCATGGTTGTTGAAGTGTCATCCGATGCGGGTCATTTCTCTACTAAACAAAATATGCAAGATATTGCGAATAAACAACAGTAGGGAAAATGTAAAAGTGTTGTTTATGGAAAATACATTAGTACATATTGAACCAAAAGGACTAACGCAATTTTTTATTTTATTGAACATATCTTTCAATCAATAGACAAGGTTACAAGGTTGAAAAGTTACAGGAAATAGAAGTTACTTTACAAAGAGTGGTTAATTATAAATATCAAGTTTATTCTAAGCTCTCCTACCATAATTAAGATGTAAAACGCTTTCGGCATGGCAACATTGGTAAACATCCTTCGTGGGTACTCTCGTGATGTATACGTGGGTTTGCCATGACAGATTACGTAATTTTGCATAAAGAGCTCCAAGACATATCATTTCGGTACACTGTTGTAAGCTGGTAGGAATTTTCACTGCTGGTACACTTGCCTGCTTCTGTACACTGAAGCCATTTTACATGCGTGTATACGGCATTTATCTTACGTGTACCACGAAATATTAGCCGCTTTCCAGTGCCTCATTTGTGTTGGGCTACTCATTTTTGAAATCCTCTGGCCCCTCATGCACTAGCTTTTCATTCGGTGTTATACGCTCCGAAGTAGTGGCAATGACAAGGACTGAGTCAAGATTCTTAAGTTATGATTTTTCACCATTTTTGTTTGTTTTTTCCATTAAACTCGCGTTAATCCGATACCAGACAATGGAGGATGGTAAAAACTGAGACAATGTATGACCCAAAGTCACAACATATATTCGAGACTTTCCTGAATAATGAAGATTACAAGAAAGCAGGTTCATAGCGGCTTTGAATGTTTACACTAAAATATGAATACGACTCATTTGCACAGAAGCTTTACAATAAAAATGCACACCTCTGACGTGTGCCTCCATCATTCTAAAGCCATCATCAGGCATCAATTGGATAGTCTGACAATGCTTCTGAAAATTAATACCAGATGTGTTTCACATTTTAATTGTTACAGATTTCCTGGTAGTGTGATCATAAAACAAAAAACTGTCAACGTCAAAGCAAAACATCAAAAGACAAGTTAGGTCTTTATCATTGCGTTCCGAGCACATTTGCTACAGCATTTTGGGAACGTCACACTTCAGATGTATACGACTCTCAATTCAAAAGCGGCTATTGATATAGGATTAACATTGGTTAACGAACGCAAGTCCGGAATGTTGTAGCTATAATTTTGGTCTTCCGAATAAGGTGACAAGTACTCTCGCGAAAACCATTTTTACACAGCTACAATCTGTATTAAGTAACGTTCCATTTAATCAAACTTACTGGTAAATATGTCAGTTTGACATTTTCACAAAGCTGGCCCGAGGATACTGTATGCTCGTCATCGAAGACAGCAACAAGTTCTTAGGCACAATGGTTAATAAGAAAATCAAAATTGACTAATAAAATAACTCGGAGAAATGTGACCATATCAGCAATTATTTTAGACTCAAAATCCCGCTAGGAGAGGTCCCTTGCCCAAACGTGAATCCAGTCACAAAAAACACATTTTTCTAGTAGAGATAAAATAAAATAGAAAGAAGAATTGGATAAAAAACAATAACTAGAGAGAGTAAATAAGGCATAAGGTTCAATAACTTATACTATTATTACTAGGACTTACTGGATTGCACATTCGGGGTGTTCGTTTGAAAATCATCACAAATTTATCGAAAACCGCTGATTAAAGAAACGCCCAGACACGTCGGAAGATTTGTCAGGAGGGACAACTTTCTAACCAAAAACTGTTTCACCCCCTGTCACCGTCTGCCCCCCAGTGTCATCCCTTAAAGAATTTAAATGACAAGGCGTATCGAGTAATAGCTTATTTGTAAGGTCTTCCGAAGTACATTATTTTGATGTTTGATTTTCTAAAATCGGTCGAATCGTTTTCAAGAAAATTAGAATAATCTCTGTTTATCTTAATTTGTTCAGATAGAAAACAAAAACACACGAAATATCACTCCTTAATTCAATAAGTGTTCAAAATGCTGCCCGTTATTGGCCAAACAATGATATAGGCGATGTTTAAATACCTGACTTTCAGGTTGGGGAGTAAAAACAATAGATTTCAAATGGCCCCATAGAAAAAGTCGAATGGCGTCAAATCAGGAGATCTAGCAGGCCATTCTATAGGCCCTCTCCGCCCCATCCATTTATCTGGAAACTCGTTGCTTAACCATTGCCGAACCCGAGGAACATAGTGAGTATAAGGTTTAAAACCTCTTCGATTTGGCATTTTCTGACATAATCAAATAAATGTCTCTTTCGAATTTCCATTAATAACCATGGTCCAACAACTTTGTTTCCTAAACTGCCTGCCCG